GAATATTAGTTTCCCCAGAGCGCATCCGCACCTAATGCTTGTTCATGAATCCCCTGTGATCTCATGTGTGGTTATGTCACATACAGATGGATCACTTCATTTGGGAGAAAAGTAGCGAGGGTATGTGCAGTCTTTAGAAACGAAGTGCTTGTATTTTTACTGGATTCATCACAGGTCTAAGCAAAAGCCGTGGGTGCTGCCTGTGGGTGTCTAGACTAGGAAAAAAGATAATTTTTAAAATTACGTTAGCTAACCTGTTTAATTAGTTTTTAAACACCACTAAGCACTTGGTGTATGACAGGGCTTAACTCCTTTAAAATATGCTAACTGGTTACAGTCAGTCCTAGACTCTTCCCAGGCTTGACCATGACCACCTAACATTTTTAAAGGTGTTACCTCTTGCCTACACTAGGTACTAAGAAATATTTTAAAATGTGATCACTAGTATGTTTTTAAAAGCACCTCCTTCTCCTGGTGCAGACAAGGCCCATATGAAAACACTCAATCACTTGGAATAGACATAGGAAGTCCTCAGATCAGGACGCTTGAGATCTGAATTATGACCCCTTTAATGCCAACCCACATATAAGGTCCCCGTGTATTCTGTGATTTAGAAACCAAAACTACCAACATTGTTAGCTATTTCATTGCTGTTCATTTTAGCAGAAATCTATTGCCTCCTATGCCTCCACAGGTACCAGAAGCCCCAAGTCTTCACTCTCTGGCTAACGAAAGTGCCAGCTTTCTTGACAGCTTCTATGATGCAGTTATTAGTTATCTAAACAAAAAAAATAATCTTTGACATTTTGAAAACTTGAGGTGTGGGGACAGCATAAATAAGTTGAATATCAAAATAAACAAATAGGGTTATTACATGGATTATATTATTCTTTTTCATATTTGATTTAAATTGTTGAGATTTTTTTTATGTCCTATAAACTACACAGATCCTTGCCCAGAGTTTTTCCAAGACACCAACACCCAAATCCATTTTCTTTATTATTAAAAATACTTAATAAAATTCAACCAAACACTTGAGCAAGAAAACTGCTCCACTGAAATTGTTTGGACAGCACCAAAAAAACCCCAACTGTTTGAAGTTTGACTTTTAGCCAATCACGAATAACTTCCCAACCCACACTGAAGTCTAGAAGCGAGAAAATCATGTAGTGATAACTTCCGAAACATGAACGGACATGCATTTACTTCAAGAACCATCTTTGACCACCTATAACCAGATCCTCCTTTCAAGGGTCACACTTGAGCACTTTGGGACAGTTATAAACTTATTTATATATCTATTTTGTTCACAATAAAAGCAATCAAAAACAGTGCAGTCAGTACAGAGTGCAATACACAAAAAGATATACATACCTATACTGGAGGTATAATCGGTGGCTCCAAAGATCAACTCTGGTGCCCTGTAGTACCGAGAGCAGATGTAAGAGACATTAGGCTCTCCACGAACCAGCTGCTTTGCACTAGAGAGAAGCAAAACAGAGATCTCCTTCAGTGTCAGAAGATTTTACCACACTTCAGCACAGGCAAACGTAGTTTTATTTCTCTCTCTCCCACCCCCCATTTCCAAACTATTCTGTATTGATGCTGTGATGTTACACCCCATATTCTTCATAGAAATATTGTTATGATATGAATATGGCATAACTAAGATATGCTTTATGCAAGATGCCTCATGTACGATATCATTGGAAAGGTTATGATTTACTGAATGTGATTATCCAATTTATATGCTTGTGTCATTTCTGTATCTAAAGTTAGGAATATGGACTATGTAACAATTACAACTGGGTGTGAATTGGGAAGACACCCACCGGACAACAGGCCACCAGATTTGATGGGCCATTAGGAAGAAGCAACAAGACTGTGAAGATACTAATCTCTCTCCTTCCTGGGAGGCGTCCTGGGACATAGCTGTGACACTACTAGGTCAGGTGGTCTTGTCACCGGATACTAAACATTATCTTGGACTTCTTGTAACTTTCCATTAAAAGGAGAGGGGGGGGGTCAAGTTTGAGAAACAAAAGATCTCGTCTTAGGTAAATCTTATTTAAGGGTGGAAAGGAAGGCAAACGGGACTCTCCTCCATTGCCTACCCAAGAATAAGGACTGCTGAAAGAACCTGAAGGGACAAAGGAACTAACCTGAAGGGAAAGACAAGGGTGGGTCCAGTCTGTAAAAAGAAATAACTGGAACTCTGGGCTACAGAAACTCTGCATCCTGCCTAATTCAACATTTAGGGTGAGAAATTACATTTTGTAACCTGTTTCTTCAGTGAATCAAGCTTAGTTTGCATGTTTTGTTTTATTTGCTTAGTAATCTGCTTTGTTCTGTTTGCTATCCCTTATAATCGGCCTTTTATAGTTAATAACATTTTTTTTGTTTATTATTAAACCCAGTTTATATAATTTCTAAAGGGGGACAAGAAGTAGTGCCTATCCTCTCTTCACATTGAGGAAGAGGGTGACATTTTATGAGCTTGCGCTGTGCAGATTTTTCTATACAGTGCAAGACAGTATTATTTTGGGTTTCTCTCTCAAAAGGGGTGTGCATGTGAATGCTGGGGGAGCCCTCTCACACAGATCTGCCTTCAGTCTGTGTCTGCAGCAGGGTGTGGCCCTACCTGTGTGTGTGTGCTGCAAGAGGCCAGAGAGCCTAATTCAGCAAAGCAGGGAGAGGGAATCCAGGCTGGTGGAGCAGGAGAGGCTCAGTGAAACCTCAGTACATCAGGTAGCATCCCAGACGTGGGGGTCTAACCCATTACAGATGCATGTGACAAAGTTTTTTTTTTTTTAAACTGTCAGACCAACTCAAACCAACAGCCAGTTATCTTATGATAACACATTGGCCATGCCAAAGGACATCTTGAGCACAATCTAGCAGACAAATAGGTTCATATTCCTGGATAACACTATACTACTTTGCTGGGTGCAAAGATTTATTTACAGAGGATAAAGGCTTGACAGAGTCTGGTTCAGTCAAATTTAGTCAACTGTTGAGGTTCAAAACCCCCTACCACTCACTCACTCAAACCTAAATATCACCTTTCTTTATGATCACATCAGCACTCCTTTGGTTCTATACTGCTTAGGAAGGCACTGTAGGTTATTTTTATTTTTTGCAGTGGGACGAATAGGAGAAAGAGCAGGCTGAAGGCATCTGACAATGGGCTCTGCCCTGACTTAACATTAAGGCTTTGTCTGCATTGCACAATGTCCATCTGGGCCCTAAACTACCGCAGAATTGCCTCTGTCAAAGCAGCAGTCACCTCAGGTAACATCCCCCCACCGAAGAAAATGAAGGAACTCAAGAAGTTTCATTTGCAACATCAGGCAATGAGCATATCTATTACCTACTGTACTCCCACAGCTTTAGCTGATATAGATGGAAAACATTATATGGGGTGGGCAGCAGAAGCAAAGTGTGTACCACAGTAGCTTTTAGAAGATATAAGAACATGAGAACGGCTGTACTGGGTCAGACCAAAGGTCCATCCAGTCCAGTATTTTGTTTTCCAACAGTGGCCAATGCCAAGTGCCTCAGAGGGAATGAACAGAACAGGTGATCATCAAGCGATCTATCCCCTGTTGCCCACTTCCAGCTTCTGGCAAACAGAGGCTAGTGCTATCTACACTTCAGTATAATCATATTTTTGTAACCAGTTTGTGCCACACAGCTGAAATGATTAAAACAAACATAGCTGACGTTATGCCCACAGCATCTTTTTGTACAACACAACCATATATAAAATCAAGGGACAATAGGACAAGCTCAGATCCAAATGAAGATTCCCCCACATGGCAGGGCACTGAGTTACTACTACTGCTGCTCCAGTTGCTCTAAAGGCACATCAATGTAATTCATACTAATTATTTAGATTCTAAATAAAAGGGTTTTGCAAAATTAAATAAGTAGAAATGTAAATTTCCAAAGCCATGTTTTCAATGTATACTCGAACATTATACATTTTGTGTTTTACTGGATATTTGACCACTCTCATCCTAGATGCAAATCTAGGGGTTTATCTCCTTCCATACATTTTCTTCTCCCTTCCCAACTCATCCGTTAGTTTTCTCTACCCTTAATTCTCCTTCTGCAGTCTCCTGGACCATATGAAACCCCAATGTATATTCTTGAGAGAAGATTCACTCCAGGTTTCAGAATTTAACCCCAATCTAACAAAGAGCTTCTATTGATTCCTCCTGATTACTTTGTTTTTAAATGATAGCAATATGGGTTAATTGGTGTGGGGCGCTTTCTGGAGGGTGGCAGACAAGACATTTAGTATCTGTCAAATTCTAAAAGTAGCATTCTCCCTGTTTTGCCTTAAGGTCATTGATTCCTTCTCCTTTGGTATTAGCTTCATGTATTGTAATCTTTTAAAAAGAGATTTTTGTGTCTCAAACATGTGAGTTATACTTGAACACACATTTTGGGTTGGATCATCATCATTCAAAAAAGCAATGCAGCTTAAAAAGAGTTGATAATCTGATGCTGTCCATATGCTGTGGAAGCAATTCAAATCAAATGCTCAGTTACACTGACACAAACAACACCTCCTCCCTCCCAATATTTAGTCTTTTTCTCATTTAACTTGATCTGAAACTCCTATTTTTTTCATGGAGCATCTTATGTAGCTAAATAGTGTTAGTTTAATTTTGCCTGTAAAAAAAGTTTTAGTCCATCATTCTTATTTTAACAGTCTTCTGTTACAATCTCAGGAGAAGATTCTTGAACCACCGTGCATGAATCTATATAGCGCTTCAAACATCACTTCAAGTTCCAATTTACAATAATCAAGCTAGTTTAGCAACAATTGCTCTGGGGACATCTCATACACACATACTCTCCAAGTTACTTAAGTCTACTACAGTTAAAGGGCGTTTTGGGTAAGGGACTCAGAGAAAGGAAGTGGATTTCTGACTTCTACCAGTGATCTTGCCCACGTAAAGAGATTTACAGCTTTAAGCATCTAATGACAATCCTGCTCTATGGATACCAGAAAAAGAATGTGCCTTTTGACAAAAGACTTGTAAATCCCAGTATCTAAGACCCTTAGTTAAAAGTCTATTATCTCCGGCTGACTAAGTCCTTTGGTATTTGAAATACTATACTAATTGGTATAAACATGGATTCAGAACATACATATTCAAGTAGTACTGGATTAGCATTATATTTTTCTATTGGGGTTATTATATCACACCCATCACCCAATAGTTAAACTCGGATAGCTGTTCTTTCCTAACCACTATATTTTCTCTAAACATCTGTATACTTTTTTTTTGTAAACATACCTATACAATTTCTTGTTTTGATTTTTTTAATTCTCCTTCTTTCTGAATCCTCTTGCATTCACCCAATCCCTTTCTCTCTCTGAGATAATTATACACACACACACAAATGGCAGGAAAAGGGGGAGGGTTGAGATAAAAAGCCTCTGCACTCAGCCGTTTCCAACTAGAAGGGAACCCTATTAAGATACTGTTCAATGTAATATAAAAAGTCTCTGTGTCGAATTAGGTCATGGTTCTCTTCAGATAAATTAGTTTTAATCAGGCTTTGGAATACAAAGAGCTTGTCTGCACTAGAAAAGCTTTGCTGGCATAGCTACACTGGCAAGCCCTTCTAGTGTAGACACAGTTTATACTAGCATAAAAGTCCTTCTGTAGTACCCAAAGAGACATAAGGTATACTGGCACTTTTATACTGTCATAAGTGTGTCTACATCAGGGCTTATACTGGCATAATTTTGTCAGTAATGAAAAATCACATCCCTAAGTAATTTAGCTATGCCAGTATAAGTGTTAAGTGTACTGTAGACCAGGCCAAAGAGACAGACTTACCTTCCAAAGTCACAGAGTTTTAGGACAGCTGTATCAGGGTCCAGCAAGAGGTTCTGTGGTTTTATATCCCGATGGCAGATTCCAAAGGAATGGATATAGGCTAAACTCCGGAACAGCTGATACATGTACAACTGGAACACAAACAGACAAGGTATAATGTACAACTTCCTTGTAACAAAGGGGGGGGAGGGAAGGAGTGGGAGAGAGATTAGCATACTAAAAACCTTACATAGTAAGCCAGAGTGAATTCTACAGCATACCAATAAAAAAAAAAAACTAGACAAAATTTAAAGCAATGTTGGCAAGACAAGTAAGGCCTAAAAGTTGGACTTCACTTTTCTTCCCTTCCACACAACCTCAACACTTCTTTGTTCAAGTCAGGGTAATTTGTTATGCAAGTATTCCTTGACCTTTCAAAAACAAAATGTTTTATTCGTAAAGAATATTCATGACAGCAGTCCAGCATTCACAAGCAACCCTACAAGGAATGATGGCTGACAGAGAGAAAAAACACACACCAAATAGAAATACTTCCATGTCAGATTTCTCAAGTCCTGTCTATATTAGGTGAAGAGGCAGCGTGACAAATTCTTGAATGGAACCCTTGAGCTTGCTACACTCGTACAACTTCGTGCATCCACACACAACACCCACACCAAGCAACTTTCTAGTGTTGGTTGTCCTAGCAATTTGCATTGCTTGGGATGGCCTTTAGATCAAATCTAGAGGAACGAGTAAAATCTAGATATTTTGAAACTGTCCCGAAGTCCTTGCTCCCAGCAATGGCGCCAAGCACTATGAAAATGAACGTTGGTTACTTGTAACGGAAGTTCTTCAAGACACATGCTACATAGTCATGAGACGCACTAGCCACGTACAGCTCAGATGGTGGAACCTAGCTAGCAATGCCTTCTGGAATGTGGAGCCTTTTGGAACTCTGGCCATCTTAGTTCCTTCCCACCACCTCCTCTGGTCCAGGTTATAATTAACACTCCCAAGGAAGAGGGAAAGGTGAGTAGGGGGTGTGAATATGTAGAGTCCCACCTCAAAGAATTTTGGTCACAAGTAACTTTCATTTTTCCTTTGAGTGGCCTCTGCATACTCCTTTATGAAAGGGATTCTCTGAGAAGGCTGTAACAGTGGGGTTTTTCTGGTTTATCATGAAACAGACTTCTGAAGAGAGTACACATGCAAAGGATGGCAATGACTAAATGATCGTTTGATGGGCCTTATTAACCAATCATCGAGATACAGGAACACAAATTCCTCTTTTCTTAGGTGAGCTGCCACTGCCAATAGACATTTAATAAATGCCACGAGACAGGAGAAAGTTCAAATGGAAGGTCCTTGTATTGAAAATAGTCTTCTCTCCACTGTGAATCAAAGGTACTTCTGATATACATGACTTGCAGCAATGTGAAAGTAGGCATCTTTCAAATCAATGGCTGAAAACCAGTCTTTTGGAGAAAGGGAGGGTATGATAGAGCTAGGGTTAACATATGGAAATGGAACTTCCTGAGAGATATATTGAGTTTCCTGAGGTCTAGAATCAGTCAAAGCCCTCCATCTTTCTTGGAGATTATGAAATACTTTCCATAAAATCCTGTGCGCCTTGAATCTCCCTGGTACCTCTTCTACAGCTCCCATTTTGAGTAAAGCCAGAACCTCGTTTTTTAACAAGTTCTTATGAGAGGCGTTCCTGAACAGAAACAGGGAGGGTGAGTTGGAAGAGGCAAAGTATTTAAATTGAATCGAATACCCAGTGCGGATGAGTTCTAAAATCCACCTGTCCATAGTTATAGAAGTCCGATAGTAGAAATATTGATAAAGTAGCTCTCTGAAGAGGGAAAAGTAAGCATCGGTCAAGACTGGATTGCAGTCCTTATGAAATGCCTCAAACCTGTGGGCTAAGGTTCAACACCATAGCTGCCAAAGATGTTTGCTTACCTTTTGCCCTTGTTTTGAAGTTTCTTCTCCTCTGCTGGAAAGACTGTTGAGAAGGATATTGCTGTTGGCAATAATATCTCCTCTGTACTAGAAAAAAAGGGAAGATGGCAATGAAGGAAGCTATCTTTGGTACCTAAATACTGGTAGTCCTGGTCTTCTCTGGCCTTGCTGCATAATTTGTTTTCTTCATCTTCTCCAGAAAGTCATTAGTCTTGGTACCAAATAGACCTTCTCTTTCAAAGGGAAAGTCTTCTACATCAGCTTTAGTTTCTCGGGGTAGTCTAGAAAATTTGAGCGAGACATATCAAAGAGGAATTGCAGATACTACAGTTTTAGCTGTCTACTCTGAAGAATCAAAGATGCTTGCAATGCATGCTTTACTACTACTTGCTGGCTCTCTGTAGCACAAGCATTAGCAAGTTTCTTTTGTTGATCTGGCATAGCCTTTTAGTAAAGGCTGACATTTTCTTCCAAAGACAGTATTGGTAATGTGCCAGAACAACTTGGTAGTTCACAACCCTTAAGGTCTACATAGAAGAGAACTGTTCTTCCGAGTTCATCCATCATCATTTTGTGTTTATCCAAGGGAGTAAAGTAAACTGAACCACTCTTAGATCTTTAAACAGCTGCTTCCACTACTAAGGAATCTGACACCGGGAGAGTATGAAAGAAATTCCCTCCTGGGTAAATGATATAAACTAAGCTAATACCTGAAAGGCTGCGTTCTCCTTCGATGGAGATGTGGCAGTGCAGACATCTAGGTTCTCTTCAGGAGATATCCATTGTCAGTTTCAAGATTATAATTCTTCAAACTCCTGAAGGGTGATCTCTTCCTCTACATCAGACAAAAAATCATGCATTAGAGCAGGAGACTGGTCTCCTTTCTTATGTGATATCAATAGATCCTGTATCTTTAGTTCTGTAGGGCCTGGTTCCACTGGTACTGGTGACTGAAGATATCCACTATACCCTTAGTGCTGCAGATCTGGTTAGTAAGATGGAGTTGACCAATAAGACCATCTCTGTGCCTTGGGGGCATTCTCCAATCCATATTTGGGTTCAATTCATAATATGATCCCACCACGGGGGTTCTCTGAGAAAGGTTGAGAGCCCAATCATTTTCTCTTTAATGGTGGACAGAACAAAGATGGCACCTGCCACTCTTAGACATAATCAGGAGCCAAGAGACGATAGCAGTGGATCCAGTATAGGAAAGAAACCTACTGGGGAACCCAATGCTGTTATAGGGGGATGGAAGAGGAGAAGACATTTGCTGTTCTTTTACCCTTCTGTTCCCTACGACAGTCAAATCTAGAGAGGAGTTCCTTCTCTTCTGTAGTTCTTCTCTCTCTAAATTTGATTGAGGCGGCGGCACTGGAGCAGAATGATGGATTTGTGCCAGTCCCGTCAAAGAAGGTTGGGTAAGGGAATCGGAACAGATACTTGGATCTGATACTATCTTTTGCTGCCTCTTTTTGTCTTGATAAGTGAATCTTTGGATCCTTCGATTTTCCTACTGGATCAAAGTCTCTGGCAACCAGCGTGACAGCTGGATCTGGTGTCACAGCTGTGTGTTATTTCCAGAGTCTTTACACAATGGTCCTCTACTTGACTCCAATGTGGCAGGATCCGAGGAGCTTCTCGTTTGTGGATTGGCTCTCCTTACAGAAGCTGTGACTGATGGCCATCTCACGATGACTCTCAATAGATTTCTGATATGTAGGTTTACGTAATCGACTTGTCCTTCGATGCGTCCAGTGCCAAGACTGGTGTATATCACTTCTTGGAACCGACCATATTACCCAATCTGGCAGGTAGAGCTGCAATTGCTTCCTTGAAGGCGATTACTTGTAGTCCATTCTGTCTCTTCTTCTCTACTCTCAGCGTAAAGATGTTGCAGATGGAGCACCTGGAGGGTGAATGTCCTTCACTAAGGCAGGCAAGACACAGTGTATGAGCATCCAATGCTAGAAAGACTGAAGCGCAGAATCCACATTGTTTAAAGCTTTATTTGTTTTTATTTTTGGATCTGGCAACAGGTCTTAATACTGACCCAGAGCTTCTGAATGCTACGCTATTGAACACAAAAAAAGCTAATTAAACTAAAATCAGTAACTGTATCTAAAACTAGCATTTCGTAACTAATTGGGCTTTATCTAAGAGAAAGATCCAAACAGGAGGTCTCGGTACATTCCTGATTCATTCCAGTTGCACAGAGTTGGACGGAACAGAGAGGTAACGCACCGCACCCCTTTTACAGCCTCATCCATACAGTGTGGAAAGTAGGGCAAGAGGAGTGCATGAGCACTCAAATGGACACCACTATCAAGGTCCCATCATTTGAGCTACCCATGGCTGGTGCATCATGAGTGGGCATATGCAGGAGCCACTCGAAGGAGAATAGGTGCTTCAGGAGTTCCAGAATGCATTGTTGCAATTGTGACTGTAGGATGTACTGTGTGAGGAAGTGCCAAAATGGTTCTGCTTAAAAACATACTCGTGAGAAAGAGCACTGGGCCATTGCAAAAACCAAGGATGGGAAAACCCATCATTTCATGCAGAGAATGTTCCTCAATGCCCTCCATGCATTGTGTAAACAAACCCTAGAGGGGATGTTATAAATACTGAGGACTGCACACACAAAGTCTGCAGAAATATTTAACCATAACCCTGTTAAACAGTCCTGTATGTGTCCTTCATTTTACTACTCGGAGCTGATCACCAAGGTATCATGGTGTTTACAAACCAAAATGTGCACTTCTTTAACCAACCTCCTCTTACTCTCTACAGTTTCATTCAATGGCAGTGAATCACATCCATTAGACTGAGACCACTCTGCCTGAATAAGGCACAAACAAGAAATGCAGCTGTAAGGGACAAAGTTTTTCCATGCAAAAATGTATGCAATCCTGGTGATCAGCAGCAATGGAAAAATAAAGTAGACCAGGAGAGCTTAACACAGTGTTAGCAAAATATTCTTGTTGGTTAAAGTTTGTGTTAGTGGAACTGTGCTATTTTGAAGGTGGACTAAAATCTCATCATTATGGTGGGTGGGGGAAAGCAGAATGGTGCAGGTAAAGGCATTGTCAAGGTTCAGTTTGAATTGCACAGCCTCTACAAAGCCTCTAAATATTAGATCGGTTTTTACTCTTACTGGTAACATACAATTAATCAGGGCCAGAAGTAGTTGAGCACCCATTTCTCCTTATTCCGTGGGACAGCAGGTTCATTTTTAACTGTAGTGGGGATCTCTCTACATATCTCAAATGGTTAGGAGGTAGGGAGGAGAGAAAGGGAGACTGAGTTTTTCAATTTAACTATGATAATTTGTTGGACACCCAGCCTCAAGTAAAATACAATTACCACCCTAAATTGGTCTCTTTTGCCTCTACTCTCTAGCTGCCTGGCCCAATCGCAGTCCTGAGGTATGGTCCAATACATCTAGAGGGAAATTTTAAAGACCATCCCTCTCTGGTTTTACTTTTAAACCTCTACAACAATTCCCTGCTGTACCCCACTTCCAGTGATTCTTGTATGCTGTCTTTCCACCAGTCAATTGAGCTGTGTCCCGACATCCCCAGCTCCCTCCACCCAGAGTTTTACTTTTAAAGCTCTGGGTGGACAAAGGTGAGCACAGTCACTACTGCTTGGAGTGACTTCACTTGGAGTGGGAACAACTAACCACGCTAAACAGAAGTATCCACTCTCCCCCTACCCAAAACTCTAGTCAAACACAGGATAGCTACAAACAGGGGAATTGCTCTGAAGCTGTTCATCTACCTGAGAGCTCTACCTGGCAGATTACTGGCCAAAGCAAGCATGTCCAGCTGCAAAGCAGGATCCTTCTGCCTAACTTTGGCTGCCTTCAGAGTTGTGTTCAAGGTCTTTTAATTGGTAGGTATAGCAATAAGGTCGTATCTGTCTCAATTTCATCACTAACTATTCTTTGTGGATTTTTTCTTTCCCTCCCCCCTGCCCATTTCTGTCAACAGCCTGAATCCTGTCCAGCCTCCAGGTTCAAGTTAGTTTTTGTTATTTTATAGCACCCCAGATACACCATTAGGAGATGTTAACTTTAAAATGCAATAATTACAAACAAGTAAAATTTGTTGTCTGAATTTCCCTTTATAAATATAAAAGTATTTTGTAAGTTTTCTCCAAAAAGTCTAAGAGTGTTCTTTATTACCCGAGGAGTCAAAAACTGGTATATACAAAATTTAGTATGATGCCCTATCTCAGAATACAACTGGATGCAATTTGTATTTTTTTGTTGTCGTCATTTTACATTGTTAGAAGCTGTGTCATAGAATCGTAAGACTGGAAGGGACCTCAAGAGGTCATCTAGTCCAGTCCCCTGCACTCATGACAGGACTAAATTTATCTAGACCATCCCTGACAGGTGTTTGTCTAACCTGCTCTTAAAAATCTCCATTGTGGAATCTCCATCATTTTCCCTAGGCAATTTATTCCAGTGCTTAACTACCCTGACAATTAGGAAGTTTTTCCTAATGTTCAACTTAAACCACCCTTGCTGCAATTTAAGACCTTTACTTCTTGTCTTATCCTCAGAGGTTAAGGAGAACAATTTTTATGCCTCCTCCTTGTAGCAACCTTTTATGTACTTAGAAACTGTTATGTCCCCTCTCAGTCATCTCTTCTCCACACTTAAACCCAGTTTTTTCAATCTTCCCTCACAGATCATGTTTTCTAGACCTTTAACCATTTTTATTGCTCTTCTCAACTTTCTCCAATTTGTCCACATCTTTCCTGAAATGTGGCACCCAGAACTGGACACAATACTCCAGTTGAGGCCTAATCAGCATGGAGTAGAGCGGAAGAATTATGTCTCGTGTCTTGCTTACAACACTCCTGCTAATACATCCCAGAATGAAGTTTGCTTTTTTGGCAACAGTGTCACACTGACTCATATTTAGCTTGTGATCCACTATGAACCCCAGATCCCTCTCTCTGCTGTACTCCTTCTTAGGCACTCAATTCCCATTTTGTATGTGTGCAACTGATTATTCATTCCTAAGTGGAGTAAAGTATGTTCTACTTTATATGTATAATTTTAGTATATACCTCCACCACCAGAATTCACATTGTGGACAACTCCAATGAGGCTTAACAGTTTTTTGACTTATTTGGTAATAAAACTCTGACACTACCCTACCTTGCTAAGTTATCCTTCTAAATAAATAAATAAATAAATAAATAAATAAATAAATCTACAGATAGTGCTCAGGTAAAATCAGTTTCCCCAGAGTGTGTATGTAGGAAAGCCATGAGCATTTAAACTTAAGAACCTTCAAGCAGGATATGATCTTATTGTAATTGCAAACACCTGAAAATGTTTAACAGCATAAGATCCAAATAACTGGGCAAATTCTGGAGGGCATACAGTTAAATTGTAAACATACTACTTCAACAACAGCCCAGATACATTGATTTGTCTCTGGGACAAAATATCACTGCTGGGTTATCATTTCTCTTAAAATGTAGGAGTCTAAACAACAGCACAGAGTGTTGCTGAAACTGGCTACCTTAAATTTTTTATATACACAGTTAGGCTCCAACAATTTCCTCTTATAATCATTTCTTTTTATAGATTTTGCTGCCTTGAAATAAACCCTTCACTGTTTAATCTACCCTGCAGTTTAGTGTGAGAATTTAAAGTTCAGGTTGGGGAAAACTAACCACAATTAGAAATGTTGTGTTACAGCAAACTTCCTATTTCAATTTATAATTACCTACCTTGACATAGATCATAGGGAGTGTCTGTTTGGCCCGACTATAATGTCTGGCAACTCTGTATACTGTTTCAGGAACGTAGTCCAGCACCAAGTTGAGGTACACCTCGTCTTTCTGGAAGAGAGAACAGAAGAAATAATTAGGAAAAGATTCAAAACAGGGAAATGCAAGAACAGTATTCAAGGCAGCTGTCAGCTTAAGAAATATGTTAGCTTGCAAGGTTCTAAGGTTTTAACAAAGGGTATGTCTACGCTCCAAAAGTGCATTATGTTAGAAAACATGCTGACTTTTTTAAGCTAATGCAATGTTAAACATGAGTTGTCCATTACTGCTAAGTTACATTCAATATCATGCTAATTAAAACAGATTCGTTAACAGGCTTTCTAACGTGAGGCATTTTCCCAGAGCAAGTGAGGCCAAAGACCACTCTGCCCATTCAAGTCTCCATAAAAGATGTTTGGGGGAACGATATCTTCCATCTCACAATCTCACACTATTTACAAGAATTGCTAACTTCAAATTCCCTGACACACCCTACTTAATTTCTTACTGATATATTTTTTTTTTTAATTCCAGCACATCTGAGAAAGGTTAATCTGATCCTGTTGAAATAGTAACATTGCTATAAGTATTTTAAGGACTAAAGAGATTTTTCTTTTCTCCAACAAAAACCCTAAGCATAATACAACAGAGCAAGAACAAAGCTTCAAGCATGATGTTTAACATTTTCAGCTTGTCAGTTTCAGAGAGATCTGTAACCTAATTTCAAACTTCACACTGAGGTGGGAGAGGGATGAAAATCTGTGACTTCACATAAGGGGTCTTGATATTAACTCTTGCCCATCTTAAATTATTTGTGTTAAAAGAGGAATTACATGAAATGAGACATCACGTTCACACAGTGCTTAATTTAACTAGAAATTAGCCAGGAACAGTCAACATGGATTCACCAAGGGCAAATCATGCCTAACCAACCTGACCGCCTTCTATAACAAGATAACTGGCTCTGTGGATATGGGGAAAGCAGTGGACACGATATATCTTGACTTTAGCAAAGCTTTTGATACGGTCTCCCACAGTATTCTTGCCAGCAAGTTAAAAAAGTATGGATTGGATTAATGGACTATAAGGTGGATAGAAAGCTGTCTAGATCGTCAGGCTCAACGGGTAGTGATTAACGGCTCGATGTCTAGTTGGCAGCTGGTATCAAGCGGAGTGCCCCAGGGCTCAGTCCTGGGGCCGGTTTTGTTCATCTTCATTAATGATCTAGATGGTGGGATGGATTGCACCCTCAGCAAGTTCACAGATTACACTAAGATGGGGGAAGAGGTAGATATGCTGGAGGGTAACGATAGGGTCCAAAGTGACCTAGACAAATTGGAGAATTGGGCTAAAAAAAAAAAAAAAAAAAATACTGACGAGGTTCAACAAGGACAAGTGCAGAGTCCTGCACCTAAGACGGAAGAATCCCATGCACTGCTACAGGGGAACGACTGGCTAAGCAGCAGTTCTGCAGAAAAGGATCTGGGGATTACTGTGGACGAGAAGCTGGATATGAGTCAACAGTGTGTCCTTGTTGCCAAGATGGCTACCGGCATATTGGGCTGCATTAGTAGGAGCATGGCCAGCAGATCGAGGGAAGTGATTATTCCCCTCTATTCGGCATTGGTGAGGCCACATCTGAAATATTGCAACCAGTTTTGGGGTCTCCACTACAGAAAGGATGTGGACAAATAGGAGAGTCCAGCAGAGGTGAACAAACATGATTAGGGGACTGGGGCACATGATTTACGAGGAGAGGCTGAGGGAACTGGGCTTATTTAGTCTGCAGAAGAGACGAGTGAGGGGGGGATTTGATAGCAGCCTTCAACTACCTGAAGGAGGGGTTCCAAAGAGGATGGAGCTAGGCAGTTCTCAGTGGTGGCAGATGACAGAACAAGGAGAAATGGTCTCAAGTTGCAGTGGGGGAGGTCTAGGTTGGATATTAGGAAAAACTATTTCACTAGGAGGGTGGTGAAGCACTGGAATGGGTTACCTAGGGAAGTAGTGGAATCTCCATCCTTAGAGGTTTTTAAGGCCTGGCTTGACAAAGCCCTGGCTGGGATGATTTAGTTGGGGTTGGTCCCGCTTTGATCAGGGAGTTGGACTAGATGACCTCCTGAGGTCTCTTCCAACCTTAATCTTCTATGAGTCTATAATTCAGCTGCTCATTTTCAGAGGCAAAATAGGCCCTAGAAGTCTCAAGTACTTTGATATAGCCTTCCCACCCTATTCTGAAACTCAGAATTGTATAAACATTTCCAACTATACAAACTGAGAATAACTAATATCGTTAATTTTCAAAAAATAAAAACAGACAGAAGGGAAAGCAGTCAAGATTTTCTATGTTTGGTTCCCAAAACTAGAGAGATATCTATAGAAAAAGATGACAGATTTCCATGACACTTAGAGAGGCCTCATGTGGATGGAAGTGGAGCACAGTACTCCCAGACTTCAGCTGGGACTCTTGTCATTAGTGGGTCCTCTGGCTACAATTTTTAATTAATACCTCCCAATTTGAAAGAAAACCTCTAGATGCATTTGCAGTAGTCATTTAATCACAATTGTCCTAGTCTTAAATGCTGTGACTTAATTAGCCAATTACAGTGCACAACCTGTTGTGCTTCTCTCATGGCTCACTGAATTATTTAAACTGTCTCTACTCTGCCCAAGAAAACAGCAGTGACCTCCAGAAAACATGGAGAATTTTTGACAACATATAACATACGCACATCATCATGTGCACACAAAACACGTGGAGAATTTCTGGATTTTAGCATTTCACAAACTCAGAGGTGGGTCAGTATCATTACTTGAGGGCAAACATAAGTACTTCAAGGGGCATTTTGAGAGCATTTACTGGTACCGCTTAACCTAAAGAGGAGCCACCCTGCAAATCACTAAGGCCTTGTTTACATTAGTCTTCTCTCCCAGAAATAAGTCATACTTTTGCTACCACTGGTTAAGTTCCACTGATGGTAGTGCCAGCATAGAAAAGGTTCCATTTTTTTAAAAACAGTATGGTGTCTTTTAGATCTGCTATGTCCAGAATGATTCAATATGAAGGTAAGTACCAGTCAGCCTCAGAAAGCCTACCTACATTAGCACTCTCACTATTGCTACCACAGGTAGCAACAACAGGACTTTTTGTAATCAGGACATACATTTTCTATAGAAATATAAAATTCAGTGTGACATTCAAATTTATACCATGTATACTCGTTCATAAGCCGAATTTTTTAGTAAAAAAGGGAAGCACCAGAGAAGGGGGTTGGCTTATGAACGGGTATAGAGAGAGGGAGAGGTGGGACACAGCCTCCCCGCCTCTCCCAACAGAGGGGGCAAGGAGAGGCAGTACAGCCAGCAGAGCCAGAAGGGAAGAGGCGGGGCCAGAGTCTCTGCTTCTGACCACGCTGCTCTCCTGCCCAGCCTGTCAGGGTAAGCAGCTTTGTTTACTTAGGTTTACCTCCGTGCCTGCGGACTCTCGAGGTAAACAAACCGTCTCGGCCCGCCAGTGGCTTATCCTGATGGCCCAGGAGCCAAAGTTTGCCGACTCCTGAACTATAGGGTCGGCTTATGAATGGGTCATAAAAATTTTCCATTTTTATTTATCCATCTTGGGGGGGGGGGGTCGACTTATAAACGAACTGGCTTATGATCGAGTATATACGGTACATACTTGATAAGAAGGCCTTGTACCTCAAGGGAGAAATTTCATTTTCATAAGTAAATAATTCTAATTGCCTCAGTATAGATATAGCCTTCTGAATAGGTAATATGATTTATTTTTAATGAGTGGGTGTGTGCAGTTATATAGGATACTTGTACCTTGGAGAAAAAAAAATCATATTAGCAGTAAGGTACAGCACAAAGTGCACTAGCATCATCAGGGTGGATTACAATTATTTTTTTACTCTAAAGACTCAAGAGCTCAGTGTCAAAAAAACTTAAAAGGGAAATATTGGAGAGGTACACAAAATAATGAAAAGTATAGAAAAAGGAAACCTGACACTCCCATTTATTCTCTCTCCCTATATAAGAATAAATGAGAATAAAATGAAAAATGTAAAGCGAGAAAGTTTAAAATTAATAAACACTTTTCATGCAGTATATAATTAACCTGTGGAATTCACTGCCACAAGATAAAGTCCAACAACTTTGTGATACAGGTCTAGTTGACAATTTTCATTTGTGATTTATTTTGTTTTCATTCTGATTTTTATTTTCTGCTCTGCCAGACATAGGACTGTAATTCCATAGCAAGTGTTCCATTTCCATGAGTACAAAGCTCAGATCACCAGAATCCAGAGACCGTTTTAGACCCTTGAGTAAATATTTGCACATTTTTATTTTATTTACTACTTAGATTCCTTTCACAAACCCATGCCTGCAGACCTGCTTCTACTGTTGCTCGCTCTCTCTCCTTTTCTCTGATGGTAATAGTATGTTCTCTCTTTTCCCACCTCCTCTTCTTCCTTCATCGTCCCAGAAACTTTCCCACCTGTTTTTGCGGCCTTTTTTTGCTGCCAAAATGACTTGTACCTATCCCTTGGGCTCTTATCTCTTCCTGTAGTGTTGGCATTGAGAATAAGGAAGGATGCCCTAGCCTATTGGTCAAACCTCAATTCTCACAGGTGTAGTGTCATGCCTATACATACATTCGCTCCATTTTTGTGAATTCCCCTCCCCCCGCCCCAAGCAGTGTGATCAGCTTTATTCAAAAATCTATACATTGTATTTTACATACTTCTGCTCCTATATAAACATTCACACACATACACATGTATCATATATACATCTAGACTAACTGGCAAACATACACTTCATATCTGTACATTCAGAGCTTTGGACCCTTAATTTACTGATGTGAAAGCAGCTCTGAAGTATAGGACACTTTTTAATCTTATACAGCCTACTATTCTCTCCTACCACAACCAAGTGGCATTTTAAAAGTGCACTACGCTAATAATTTTTTCATCAGCTAAAGATGAGTCAACTATTCTGAGTTAGCTCTTCTTGCAAATACCATGACGTGAATCTCATACATCACTCAAGATACTGTTGTAATACTTTTC